AATTCCAATGGTAATTCAAGCAAACAACATCAGAAGAATGAGGATAAAGACGAAGTAGTGGGGGATTTTTAGAATTGGAAGAAAATAAGAAACAAGAGACCCCAAAGGAAGTGGTTCATTAGAGAGAGACTCTGTATAAAAACCAGATCCATTTTCTTGGTCCAAAGAGTCGGTCACGTGGGACTATAATAGTTTTCCTTTGTTTGAAGATCAAAAGTAATTCTTTGCCCCTAAACTAAACTTTCTTTTTTATTCTAATGCATTGCTTACAGATGGTACCAACGTAAGGCAGTTTATCTAAATAAATATAAGCAAATGTTAATTGATATTTTGTGAAAATTATGATAATTAAGTTTTGTTTTATATATGATAAACAGTAAACATATATAAGATGCAACTTGTTAGCTATGCAGGGATTTTTAGCGACTAATACACATTTTAAAAATTTACGACCAAGAATACACTGATTAGGGACTTAAAATTAATATTTAAATGAGTGAAAAAGCAAAAGACACTTTCAAATCCTAACGAATATCAATTGAGAAAAGACGGGACTTAAAACATCGACATCGCGATATTTGGTTACTTAAAATCGCGATAATCCTAGTTTCTAAGTGTAATATTTAACCTCTTCTTAAGAAGATCGTTTGGGCCACAATTCCGGACCATCTAATGAAGAAACTGAACCGGTGTCAAAACAAAATACTCCGTAAAATCACCTGTGCCAGATGGTTCATTAGAAACTCAAACATCCACAAAGATCTCAAAATCCCGACTCTCTCTCAGCATATTTACAAATTTAATGCAGATTTTTATGACAAAGCTATCAACTGCAATACAGCTAACTTCAATGAAATATTTAAATTTGAAAACTTTAAAAAAGACAAAAACCTTAGACCAATAGCTGCACACTTCACCTCTGACGCCTCGTACCGAAACTATCAACATAAGTAAAAATCTCCAACTCTAACATCAATAGTTCATAGCAATAGTTCAAAACATCAACAGATTACAATCTCAACTGCTTCAACTACAATACCAAACTTGAAATCTGAACCTAGTACCTAATGTTGACAATAGATTCACAGCCATCTTTTCTATAGCCTTGAAATTCAAACCTGTTACCTCATGTGGACAATACATACACAGCCATCTTTACTATAGCAAGTTGCTTAAAATTATTTTCACTTTCTTTTCAGTTAAACAAGCAAGGTGCTTGCTTTACAATATCAGTCACCCCAGAGACTTTGTATACAAACTGCTTTCATTTTCTAATTTTACTGTAATTTCACGATGAATGGGATATGGGTCTTCTGCGCGGCCCAGGTGCCCAGCTTTTGTTAAATAAAGTAAGTAAGTAAGAAGATCGTTGCGATTTCTTTTAACACTAATTGTAACGCTATTTGTATTTCACAGCGCATGCGTAAATCAGAGTATCGCTGACGAGTGGAAGGTAAGGATAGTTTTACGGGATAACATACGACAAACGCTTTGCAAAATCTCTCTAGCATGCATGGCATTTGTAGAAAAAACTTATTTAAATTATGAAAATCTTAATTATTCCTGATTCAGAGTTTTGTATTAAAAATTCGCTCATAAATAAAGAACAAAACTTTCAAAAGAGTGTGTTCGAAAATTCACTTTGTCAAATTTTAATACCGTTTGCTTTTTTAGCAGTATATTAACAGTTTTAAATATAAATTTTGTAAAGTCATCTTTGATTGCGCAATAAAATTGCTTTTATTTAAAATTTTGATAATTAACTACATTTAGATTATTGTGAAAATGTTCAACATATTAATGTTTAAATAACAGTTTTGCAGAATAAAATAAATAACACTTAAACGTTGTAAGGTTGTAAATATATGTATGTATATTATCATTTTATTAATTATTATTATTACTAAAAGTTAATATACTCCCATTATTTTTCAGCTGCAAAATCTTGAAAATTTGGTTCGAGTTCTGTGAACCGTGAAGCGAAACTCGCATTGTATATACTTTCACCTTTTTTTAAAAGTAATAAGCCATCTCTGAATTTTTAATAATTTAATTTTAATTAATGTAAGTCATTCTTCATTTGAGAGTTGCACTATTTTATTAAAAAAAACTTTCTTACATGTGAGGAAAAAAAACAGAGGTGTGCTCCTATATAACTGCAGAGTAATAGAAAATGAAAAAGTGAGAGCAGATCATTTCATATTCTTTAGATTAAAAATGGAAAATACTATAAGATTTATGCCATTGAGATTTATGTTGTTGCGCTGTTTTAGAAATAAGTTTTTTTCCTCTGTAAAATAATTATTTTTCCCTATTTAACCCTTTTCTTATTTGTTTATTATTTAAATCCCATATTTTGATTTTATGAACAAAGCCAAGATTCATCTCCCAAAGTTTAAATCTCCAGCTTATATTCTTTAATATCTATTATCATTTATTCTATTTATATTAGGCATTACGATCCCAGCTCATTATCCCTTGCAAATGATCACCCTATCGCTTTGCAGTGGTGAGGATTAGCGATAAAGCAGTGATTCTAAGTCACATCAATATATGAAATTGTAATATTGTAAATGGATGTCATAAATTTTCCATCATCTAAAGGAATTGATATTGGATTATTGAAAATATATTGAAAATAAAGCTACGAGGAAAAAAATAAGCTATTTTTGCGAAATCAAAATATTTGACACAAAACAGCCGAACCTCAAAATATCCACCGCAAACGCAATAATAACCGCAATCTGTGAAATATGTGAAATATGATCCCCATTGTTTGGAGAGGAGAGTGAATGACATTGATTATTTAGATTGATAAACATTGTAATCGATATTGTCGATCGATATAACAAATTTTTAATAATATAAAAAAAATCGATATTGGGTTGATGAAAATATAATAAAAATAAAACTACGAGTAAAAGAATAAATCCCAATATTTCTGTCAAGAGAGCGATTAAAGTTTGAAACCTTTAGTATTAATATTACTTACTTTTTGTGTATTTCACCATGTTTCGAATGAATTGTAGAAAACAAATTTGCCCGAAGTTATGAAATTTGTTAATTCAAAGATAATTCCACGCAAAAGGCAACTTTTATTGAATATTTGTTTTCTTTTTATTATTTCATATATTAATAATCCAAAAAAGTTTTCAATAGTAAGGTGTACAAATTTTAAGTAATGAAATTTCATATGGGAAAATACAAAATTTCAACGAAATCGGTCGAATAGTTCTCGAGAAATCGAATTTTAAAAAAGTCAGATATTCAAATTCGATTTTTCATGATTGCGTCTAATTGTTTAGATTTTGAAGAAAGCCGTCGCGTTTCAACCCAGCTCCAGAAAATTATATTTCTCCTAATTATACTTCATTCAAATATTTATAATTATCGTTGAACAGCAGACCCAATTTCTGAGTTGACGACTACTAATGCTCGACTCCGTAGCCTTGTCATTTTGAACCCAATCCAGAAGACAAGGGAACTCCTTGATGAAGCATTTGGAAGAAATTTGCCTTCGAAGAGGAATTTTTGATGGGACTCACGCGCATTTACTTCACATGGCGAGAAAAAAAAACCCACGGTTAGTTTGACGGCAAGGGTACTCTCATCCATGAACCGTCTACCACTGAGGATATTTTAATATTTTACGTCAACATTGTGGTCAGTGCGAGCCGGGTACGGAATTCAAATCGACCAGCCATCGCTGGGATTCGAAACCGGTTCACCTCATTGGAAGGCACACGCCTTATCCCCTGAGCCACCACGGCTCTCATTCATGTGATGTCAAAATCGTCTGCTTCTTACTTTTTCCGCCTTTTCAGCAAGTATCATCTGCTGGAAGTCATCTGCATCACTTTGGCGATTGAACAGAATAAGAATAACAGTTTAATTGGGCAACTCTCAATTGCTTCAACTTCAGAGATAGACAAGGCTAGATTGATCTCAAATAGTTCGACATTTTGTGAAAAGTATGGGCTGAGCGGTACACTTCAGGTCTTCTCAGGACACTCAAATGGAATAATATCCAGCACTTATCCAGCCTTAGATGAGGTGTTAACTTCGGTTAGCATGCGCTACAAGAATAACAAACAAACAAACACCAACAACTTTACTATCACGAACAATACACAAACAAAATCTGACTATGAGAAGAAGAGGAAGAACAGATAACAGTGCAGTCTACTGATGATAACTCTACCGACGGTAAAATTGATTTTACTCCTAAAAAACGTTAAAAACCTGAGTTCGTTTGACTCTAAAATGCTATCACGGAAATAGGCATTGAATTTTTTATTCAAAACATATTAGGTATTTTAAAATATTCGCTCTACTTTAACGATTATTGTGCTAGACTTAATAAATCTATGGTTTCATGTCAATTTCAGAAATTTTTGCATTAAGAATGCCGCAACCTCTAAGCCACAGCTGTTTTTTTTCCTGGTATAGCCAAGAACCTTTGATTAGAGAGATTTTGCACTTTTAAGTTAGCTTCCGTACTCTCAATTACGTAAGATTTGAAGCAACTGCGCATGATCGCGTTAATTTTAAAGGCTACGTATCTTCACCTTATTGTTGGCGTGATTAACGCTACAAAGACAAAGTTACACGCAGTTTATAGCTGTCGAATGTCGCTTTCTGTTTAAGCCTACCTTTGAACTAAAAACATTGACGTGAATTTGAATTGTATAAAGAAATTGAATTGATGAAATTTAGAAATGAATCGCGTGATATGACAACAATTGGTTGATTCAATAAGAAATAATTTTATTAGTTTTTGTTTAACATTATGATTGTCTAATTGCATTAGTTTCTTAATGAACTAGACATATTTTGGTTATTTTAAAATTATAAACTATATTTTAATTATACTACAGTGAAACCCCGATGTTACGTTTTCTGTCGGACTAGCGATAAAAAACGCTCGAAGCGGAATAACGTAAAATCGGGGTTAAGAAAAATCTATGCATATTTTTAAAAATTGACACCTACCAGTTAAATTAATGGAAAAAATGAGTAATCTTTACTTGCTTTTCGTTTCTAGCTACAATTTCGTATACAGCTCGTTCAATACTAACAATTTTTTGCAAATTTGCTTCTTGATTTACATTTGCAAGTAAAAATTGTTTTAGAGTTTTTATGCTTTGTATCGCTTGATCAGCTGTTGGCACGTCTTCTGTTATTTCATCTTCATCGTCATCAGCACTATCGTCGGAATCAGGCATTAAATCACTTATGGAAGGGATTTCTGAAGTAATGATATCTGTGTCACAGTCGATGTATGCATCATCGACTTCCGGAAGGTCCTCAACTTCAGACACGCTACCTTCTTCTTCTTCCAAAACAACAGCGCTCTCCTCCTCCGATATTGAAAATCCTGCTTTATTGAATCCATTGATAATGCACTTTCGGTCGACACTGTCCCAAGCTGAAGATATCAAATTAAGAGCCTCAAGAACATTAATTTTTGCCTTAGAAGCATCCTGAAAGTCACCAGAATCAAGAAACATTAGAGATTTTCTAACCAGTTGCTTCCGGTAACTCTCTTTAAATGATCGTATAATTCCTAAATCCAGTGGTTGAAGTTTGCTCGTACAGTTAACTGGAAAAAACTCTATTCGCACGTTTTTCAATTTAAGGTTTAAATGAGCAGTGCATTGGTCTAGGAATAAAATTATGTTGCGCTTTTGAAAACTCATTTTCTTATCCAGTTCTCGAAGAAAATTTTTAAATAATGCTTGCGTCATCCATGCGTTTTTGTTTGAATCGTAATCGGTAGGAAAACTTTTGATATTTTTGAAACACCGTGGTTTCTCTGCTCTACCGATCACAAGAGACGTTAACTTTTGGCTTCCATCGGCATTTGCACAGAGCAAAACAGTCAAGCGCATTTTTGAAAGCGTTCTTCCATGGCAATTTTCACCTTAAAATGTCAATGTCTTCTTTGGCAATAGGTTGAAAAACAATCCCGTTTCGTCATTAAATATGTCACTTGGATTATAGCCCTTTAATAAATTTGGCAGAGTTTCTTCTTTCCACTGTTGCACAGTTGTCACTATCGGATTCGCAACAGATAGATTTGAAGCATAAATTGTTCCGTTTTTTTAATCGATCGATCCAGCCATTTGATGCACTGAAGCCTTGGAGTTTAAGCCGTTCAGCAATTTCAAGCGCCTTTTCTCTCAGGATGGATCCATTTATAGGAATCTTTGCTGCTCTGTCTTCCTTGAACCAGTTCATTAAAAAAATTTCTAACTCATCATACGGAGATGTTTTTAAGGTTTTTCTCTTCTTGGCAATTTTTCCGAGTTTTTCAGCGTTTAGTTCTACTGAAGATTCTTGCTTTAAAATCATTTGCAAAGTTGAATAAGCAATACCCAAAGATTTAGCAGGATCAACTTTAGTGCCACGAAATTCTTTAGCTTTTTCGACGATTTCAGCCTTTTCGGCCAGAGAAAAGCATTTTCGTTTCGCCATCTTCTTTCGAGAAAAGAACACGATGACTGGGGTTTCGAAAATGAGAAAAAATGCTATAGCTTTCAAACTCAAACAAAACCGACAGAAAATCTCATTTGGTATGCTAGCATGGAAAAATGAGTAAAACCATTTTGAATAGAATAAAAAAATTTTTTTGATCTGTTTGTAGAAAAAGGCATCAAGCGGGATTTTCATAAAAGGGGTAACGCAAAATCCGGGAATTTTTAACATTATCGGTATAGTCAATTTTTACGGATCAGCAGAAAGTGACGTAAGAAGCGGGATAACGTACGAAACGGAAAACGTAAAATCGGGGTTCCACTGTATTTAGTTCTAAGAAGTTACACTTCAATAATACTTTACACTTAAAGAAGTAACACTTAATAATTTTCGATTATAAATACAGAATTTGTCGCATTTTATTTTGAAATTAATATATTCTTTATCTTATTGTTTGTTTTAAATTGCTTAAAGCAGGAAATTTTACTCTGATACAAAAGTGCCCAATAATTTTAGAGTTTGAACTGATATTATTGCAATCAATATTATATTTATTTCAACTTCAAATAGTTATGAATTTGGATGGTCAAAGAAATATAAATATTATTTGCAATATATAATTGCTGTTATCAAAATATGAGCATGGTTTATTTATATAAAAAAGGTATTACACTTAAAATTATACTTTAAATTTATATAATGTAGCATACGGTATGCGCAAAAAATAAAAGAAATAATTTTCACTCAACTATTTATTTAAAAAAAACTGGATTTCTTAAATTTTTGCCTACAAATCTAAGTAATAAGCTGCATTCCTTATCGCTGAATTCATCAAAATCTATAATCTTCCCACTTTTTTTTGCTCTCAGATCTGCAGTTTTACGCAGAGCAAAGCATCTAGAAGCGACTGCCACAGCTTTGAAGAGATCGTACACGTCCATTGCAAATGTTTGTTTTAATTTTGTGGTCAAAGTTGAAATGATATTCCACTAAGTTAGTGTTTTTAACTTACAGATTTTTACAAAATCTCTTACTTATCTACGTAAGTTAGATATTTTTTCGCGAGCGAATGCGCATTTCACCAGAACTAAGTGCGCATGCGCAATCACTTAGTCATCAAATCAAGTCTTACGTACGAGAGCATACGGAAGTTAATGTAAATTTTCGAAATCTCCTATTTATTTTATTGCCGTGACTAATTTATGAGATTAAGAATCAAATGTCTTAAAAGTATATCACACCACTGCGAAATAAAGTTTCTTTGACCCAACTCAACCCCGATAAAAACCTTCGAAAGTCAATGTGTATCTTCTAAAAAAAGAAATTAAAGTAGAGAAAAAGTTATTTTTTGTGGTTCGATGACTCAGTTCGTAAATCGAACAGAAAGAAAATAAGTGCAACTCTTGCCGAACTAACTGTGATAAACCACGATGTTCCAAAATAAAGTGTTCGTAGGAATTTCAGCTTTTTGTTTAAAAGAAATCGAACTCTTCTCTCTGGGGTGTTTGTTCTTTTGAAAATAGTTCCACTGTTCAAGTAAAGGATTTCCAAAAAAGTACACACTTGGCTTTCAGATAGTGAACGTTTTAATCATTAAATAGAACTTTTCACTTTCTGAAATTTCTGGACCAATAAATTCGCCGTTTGCAGTCCTTCTACGAATTGTTTTCTTTGTTCTTTAAATGAATGGTATTACTTGTAGAGTTAGCAAAAATGAATCACCCGTCATAACTTTTAATCTAATGATAGTTATTTCACGTATTTAATATGTTATCAAAATGATTCAAGAGCTAAAAGCCCAGAATATCGGTTTTTGGATCTTGTGCTAAACTCAACATTCAATTCAAGTAAACGTGTTATTTGATTTATGTTGATGATATTTTAAAAAATCGCAAAATTTTTTTTTCTCTGAATAAAAATACTGTTTTTTTCGACGAGAAGTACGAAAATTTTTTTATGATTTACTAACTATTTAATAAATATGAATTCTCTGTGAATTATCTATTATGTTTAAGATTTAAAGCAATTGATAATATTTAGAAGAAAGGAATCTTTTTTGTAAAATCCCTATTAAAAAACACGAGTTAAACTTGTTCATCTGATCTCTGTCCATATTACTAAGGGTGACTCCAAATTTACTCCTTGACAAGGTTTTTGGGAACAAAAAAATTGAAGTAAAATAGCAGAAAACTATTTTAAGCTTTTTCTAACGAAACAAAGAAAAAGCTGTTTTCACGCTTTAACTATTTTCCTGCGAAAGAAGCAAAAACTTATAAATTTTGACCTATTGAAAAACATGATTGATTATCATGATATAAATAAATAAGTAATGATGAGAGAGACAACACATTTAAAGTTAAAAACAAAACAAAAAAAAATGTTTTTAAAGCATTATCAAAAGATTTCATAACAATGAGTCAATACGTAACTATTGGCGAAGATTAGAAATTAAAAACAGAAAAACATGGTTAAGGCCTTTTTTTGAAAGAAAATAATGATGAATGTTTATGCTAAGATGAAAAAATAAGCTACAACTATCTGATTGATATCTTACGAATAAAAGACAAAAAATATTGCTTTTGAAGTTTTTTTTTAAAGATTTAATAATAAGTGTTCGTCTCAAGACAAAAAACAAGTAACTATAGTAACTATAAAACAAGTAACTATAAACATGTAATCATAAAAAGCTAGCTTCGAAATAAAAAACAGAACATTTTTATTTTTGAAATTTTTGTATAGGTTTAATGATGATGATGATTGTTTGCCCTGATATAAGTAAGATAGGGAAATAACTATAAGATATAACTTTGACATTATTTTTCTGATTTCCAAAAAAAAAAAGAATTAATAGTGATGATTGCTGGTCATGAGATGTTTAGATAAATAATTATGAGCGTGTATATATATTAATGTTAAAACAAAGGAACATTGTTTTTAAAGCTTCCATAAATGATTTAATAATGATAATTAAGTATTTATGAGCGCATACTACCAGGCGTAAATTAAAAAAAGCATTGTTTTTAAAACTTTCCGGAAATATTCAATGATGATGAGAAATTTTCATGAGATGAATAAATAAGCAATTCGTATATCTTCTAAGTTAGAAAGAAACATTGTTTCTGAAGCTTTCAGAAAAGATTTAATGATGATGATTACTTGTCACATGAGATGAGCAAATTAATTAATCATGAGCGATATTTTAGAATTAAAAACCTAAGAAAAATTGTATTTTCAGACATTTTTCTAAAAGATTTAGTGATTTATGATGACGATAATGAGTGGTTGTTGTAAGATAAGTAAATACACTGTAAAAATGGATATTCAAATGACACGAAACTTTCTTTGTTTTTGACGAAACCGTTTCCTGGTACATGCTCCGAGCAACGAAATAACTATCATCATTTTTTCGAGGAAACGAATGTACGTCAATAGTAAAAAAAAAATATTTCGTCATTCTATTTTTTACCCTCAAAAAAAAGGAAAAAAATAATGTTTAATTCACTCAACTTTTCTAATAAATAATTTATCGTGAGCATCCTATATCTGGGTCAATATCACCTTAATAATACAAGAGCGACAATTAGAACAAGGAGATAAATTACACTTAATCCCCAAGCGGGATTCGAACCAGAGATGTCCTGGCACGATAATTTCGATCGTCTAGTCTTCCTCCTAGTTTCGTAATTCAAGTTGACAATCTTCCACAACTCACTACGATAAGCTTTCAAGTTGAAGAAACATTTTCATCATATTCGAAAGTTCTCGTTTCGTCACAAATCATGTGATTTCGTGATTAAATAATTCCTAAAATTTACGAAATACAGATCAAAAATAACTGAATCGTCAAAGGTAAGAGTTTTATTATCTCTGAGTGTAGAGGATTCGAGAGTGTATACTATTAATGAAATAGAACTGAGCACGCATAAAAATTCAAAAGTAAGAGTTTTATTTCTGAGAGTGTAAAGTAACTAACGGGCAAATCTCTTAAACTGAGATGAAGAAAAGAGTTGTTTTTAAGACTTTTTTTAAAAATTTCATTTTCTGTTTTAAATTTGTAAAAAAATTCTATTGAGATACTTCATCAATAATTAAAATTCTTGCGAGAAAAACATTAATTAATTTAATTAAAAGTTTTACTCGATTCTTGCAATAAATGAGCTATAAATTACTGACAAGGGAGATACCATTCCTTAAGAAAAGTTTTTTTTTTCTTTCCTGTAGTAAAATGTTTTTTTCCCCCTCGTATTTATTCAGTTTTTAATACTCATTAGCGTTTTTAGACAAAAGTACTACTCTTCTTTTCTTCCACTGAAGTTTGTTAAGTAACAGAATAGATAGCTTAATAAATAGCTATCACATTATAATGCATTATGGTAATTATTTAATTAAAACCTCTTTTATTTTGCAAGAAAAAATGCAATTAACTCAAAGTTGTTTTGCTTTTTCTATCCAAAGAACTTCTCAGCATTCTTTTCTGAGAATTTAATTTTTTTATCGTTGTTTTTTCGATTGCTTTCTTAGTTATAGCGGAATTACTGTAACTGAGGGTGAGATAAATTATTTAATTAAATAATTTTTTTTGTTATTGCTTCTTTTGATATTGCCAGAAGATACAATGCGTTTTTTGAACAGATGTTTCAAACCGAAATAAATACAGCCAGAAAGTAACATTATCAAAATATATTCGGGGAAAAAATTAGAAGAAGATTAAAAGATGATTCCTCTGTTTTCTCCTGTACGTAAAGTAGGAAATTAATTTATATTTAAAAAAATGAATCTAATCCTGAAATATTTTAGTCCCCTATGGGAGTGCGTACAAATAATGCGATGCATATTTACAAAAAAACTGCGTAAAATTAATTGCTCTCCCGTCGTGTAATTGCGCTCTACGAGGGTTGTTTTTAAGTAAGGGTCGTTCTGTTGCGTACAATAATTGGTGCCGCGTGCTTGTTTCGTGTCCCATCATTTCTTGGGAACAACTGTGCTCAGGTGCAGCTGAA